TAGCACTTCTGGAAATCCAGGATGGGGAGACCATCTGATGTGAAAGGTGCCTGCTGGTGGAACCTCTCAGGAAGCAGGTGGAGAGCTACGAGAGGCGGTAGCTAGGCTGAGGAACATCCGAATCCATGTGGAATTCCTTGAGAGTATTCATGTGGACACAGCTGTGGATGATGAAGCTGTCTCTTCACAAAACACTGCTGACACACCACTAATGGAGGAGGAGATGGCTTGGTCACAGGTGGAACACTAGCAGCTGGTCACTTCTGGCAGCAGGCAGTGCTCCACCCCTGCTCCCAACCCTCCCACCGTGGTACTGTCGAACTGTTATGCTGTTCTGGATACGGGAGATAAGGAATCACCCACCAAAGCAGAAGAGGAGAAGCCTTGTATTCCCAAGGCTGGGAGGTCTGCAGCCACCGCTACATGGATGACACGTATAGTAGTAATAGTTGAAGACTCTCTTCTGAGGGGGATGGAGGCACCCATCTATTGCCCTGACATGACATCTTGGGAGATATGCTGCCTGCCAGGAGCCCATAACTGAGATGTTAAAGGCATTGTCAAGGATTATCTAGTCCTCTGTCTCCTACCCCATGCTACTCATCCATGTGGGCACAAATGATAGTGCAAGATACGACCTTGAGCGGATCAAGAGTGACTACAAGGCTCTGGGAGTACGGGTAAAGTCATTTGGAGTGCAGGTGGTGTTCTCTTCAGTCCTTCCTATCCAAGGTAGGGACCCAGGAAGAGACAGGTGCATTCTGGAGATGAATACCTGGCTGCAACGATGGTGTCACCAGAAGGGCTTTGGCTTCCTCGACCACGGGATGCTGTTCCAAGAAGGGCTGCTAAGCAGGGATGGGGTTCACCTTCCGAGAAAGGTGAAGAGAGTATTTGGATTCAGACTCACTAACCTAGTGAGGAGGGCTTTAACCTAGGTTTGACAGGGACAGGTGACCAAAGCCCACAGGTAAGTGAAAAACATGGAGACCTGGGAGATGGGTCAGAATGGGAGGGAGCATGGGCAATAATAGCAGACATAGAGAAGGGACAAGGCAGAACAGGGTGGCAAAATCAAATTAGTATACAGGCATACAAATGCAAGAAGTATGGGGAATAAGCAGGAAGAACTTGAAGAGTTAATAAAGCAACCCAACTTTGACATAGTTGGTATCACAGAGACTTGGTAGGATAATACGCACGATTGAAATATTGGTATAGAAGGGTACAGCTTGCTCAAGAATAGGTGGGGAAAACAGGAAGCAGGTGTTGCCTTATATATTAAAAATGAATGCAATTGGATGAGGTGGAGATGGACATAGAAGACAAACTTGTCAAGAGTCTCTGGGTTAAGTTAAAAGGGGTAAAAAACAAGGGTGAAGTCATGCTAGGGATCTACTACAGACCACCTACCCACGCACAAGAGGTGGATGAGGCTTTTTTAAAACAACAAAATCATCCAAAATACAGGATTTGGTGGTGATGGGGGACTTAGAATCATAGAATACTAGGACTGGAAGTGACCTCAAGAGATCATTGAGTCCAGTCCCCTGCCCTCATGGCAGGACCAAATACTGTCTAGACCATCCCTGATAGACATTTATCTAACCTACTCTTAAATATCTCCAGAGATAGAGATTCCACAACCTCCCTGGGCAATTTATTCCAGTGTTTGACTACCCTGACAGTTAGGAACTTTTTCCTAATGTCCAACCTAAACCTCACTTGCTGCAGTTTAAGCCCATTGCTTCTTGTTCTATCCTCAGAGGCTAAGATGAACTAGTTTTCTCTCTCCTCCTTATGACAACCTTTTAGATATCTG